TACGACAGTCGGCTTCGTCCGATCCGTCCTCACAGTCTGGGTCTCCGTCACACTCGGGGTTCAGTTTGCTGATGCAGCGCCCGTCGCTGCAGCGGAAGGTGAACTCAGAACACTGCTGCAGCACCAGAGCTGCACAACACGACAGACAGCATCAGTACCGGACCCACAACCATCCCCGTCCCCTCTCCCGGCCCGGTTCGGCCCTCTGCTACGGCCCTTTCCCTTTGAGATGAAATGGAAAACGAGTTCTCACATTTTTCACATTTGGACTCATCGGACCCGTCGCCACAATCATCCTTTCCGTTGCACACCAGCTTCTCCGGGACACAGCGTCTGTTTCTGCAGGAGAACTCTCCTCCTCTGCATCTCACTGCAGAGAGAAGAAGCATCTTTATGTAGGAGACAGCTTCTTACGTTCACACATTCTTTACTGCCTTCAAGTCTGGCAGGAAGTCAGGACGACCCACCCAGATCCTCAGAACCGGATTGGCACAGTCCTGTACCAGAGTCTCTGTTTACATCTGCTGTCAAACCGGGACGTGAACACCTGACCTGCTCCAGCAGAAGGTAACATCACCGTCCTAGTTTAAAGACTAGATGTCATACAAGCTCTGTGCTTTGTCAGGTTACCACAGAGACAGTAAGAGGCTCCACCCGCTGGTGCAAACAGGTACAACAGCTGCGATATTAAACCACGAAAACAACCCCAAACTAATGAGGAGGCCTGTTTTGTTCAGATGGTTTCACTCCAGAGCTCAGACGTTTCAGCACCTGAACCGGTTTAGCAGCAGATGTGTTTCAGTTTATTTGTATTTATTCAGCTGGACCCACCGCAGTCTTCTTCGTCAGAGTTGTCCCCGCAGTCATCTTTCCCGTCACATTCCCACAACTTCGGCTTACAGCGGCCGTTTTTACATTTCATCTGCGACGCCTCGCACTCTGAGCACAAAGAAAAACCCGTTGAATCCACATTCAGTGAAGGCTGGTTTCCCCACATTCCCTTTGATCACCGGGACTCACTGCAGTTGAGCTCGTCGCTGTCGTCCCCGCAGTCGCTCCAGCCGTCGCACTGCAGAGTCTTGTTGATGCACAGGTTGCTGCTGCACTGGAACCTTCCCGGACAAGCTGATCGACAACGACACGCCTTCGTCAATCAAATCTAATGTGAAATCTATGTGAAAACCAGTGGCTTGCTAAAAACAAACAACGAGGCTCTTACGGTTGGTCGGGACAAAGGCTTCGTACTCGGCGCTGAAGCCCTGGCTGACGTAGGACGAGTCCGAGTTAAACCTGATGGTCATCTTGTTGCTTTTGCTGGTGATCACTGTGCTTTCTGACTTTCTGCCACACAATCTGCAACACAAAGCGACAGATAGGTGGCGCTGTTAGATCAATACAAGACAATAAGAGCAGATTCAAGAGAAACCCTTAAAAACCAAAGTCTTCGGGTTCTCCAGAACATTGACCTCGACCTTAAGATTCTGTCGGTAGGAGAGAAATCACAATGTTAAGGTCACAAGTGAGTTCTTTTTGATGGCAATATTTTGGTCTTGACTTGGGACTCTTTGGTTTTAACTTGGGACTCTTTGGTCGTGACAGGGCACCTACTGGTTGGTCCCAACTCAGACTTGATCCTGTTGAATCCGGACATGTTGGACTTGAGATGGAACGTGACGGTCTTGACTCGGAACACAATGGTCACGGCTGAAGACTCGTTGGGCCTGACTAGGGGTTCACTGGTTGGTCAGACTTGTTGGTCTGAAATTTGGACTTGTTGGCCTGAGACAGAACTTGATGGTCTTGCCAGGGAACTCTTGGCCTCGGCTTGAGACTTACTGGTCTTGTATTGGGACGTGTTTTTTCAAAGATGGAACTTGGTGTTCAGTATTGGTGACTTGCTGGTCTTGATTGAGGATTTGTTTGTTGGTTTTGACTTAGAGTTTAGTCTTTACTGGGGACTTGTCTTGATTCATGACTTGTTAGTTGGTCCTGACTTGAATCTTGGAGGTCCCGACTCAGAACTTATTGGTCTTGACTCAGAAGTTGTTGGGTAAGGGTTAAAGATGAAACTTGTTAGTCTTTACTGGGGACTTACTGGTCTGGACTCGTTGGTCTTAAGAACAAACTTGTTTGTCTTTACGTTGGACGTTTTGGTTTCGACCTGGGATTTGTTGGTGTTGAGATGGAACTGGATCATTACTGGAGACTCGTTAGTTGGTCCTGAAAGTAACAGTTTTGATTTGGGACTAGTTGGTCTTGAACTGGAACTTTATAGCCAACACTCACCTGTGATTTGCAAAACAATAATTTCTTCCAGCACAAGTCATAAAGAATACGTTCATGTCACTGATGCAAGTCTTGTCTTTGTGCGAGTCATATGACCTACGAGTCACAGCAGGCAAAGTCACCACGCTTGTGTGCAAATCTCAGCACTCCAAGTCAGTTACCTCCAAGTCAGTGCGATCGTCATCAGATACAAACCACTTAAATAAAAATCGGACTCGGTTCTTCTCTCATTTGAAGACGTTTGGAGGCGAGACACTCGTCCTGTAAACCCACAACAACCACAGACGACTTTCAAGTAATGACGGAGGAACAAACTGACCTCTGACCGTTGACGTCCACGTAGTCGTTGGGACACTGGCTGCTCTGGTTCCCCAAAGAGAACTTGTTGAACTGAACCTTTACGAACTTGTCCTTCGAGGCCTGAAAGGGAAAAACAACGAAGGTGAGAAAACGATGAAACACAACTGAACTGAAAAACCAAACGGAGTGAAACAAGCTCTGAATAACTTTGTCATCAAAGACTGATGATTGGAGCTGAGTTGTGAACACACTTTGCTAAAAATGCTCCCAGAAGGGTAACAAGCCAAAGATCAAGATGATGAAGACAAAGATGAGTCAAGAAGAAGACAACAGCGAACAAGATGATGGAAAAAACAAGCTGGAAAGACGATGAGGAAGAAGACGACAGAGAAGATGAAGACAGAGATGGAGAAGATGAGCGAGTTAGTTTAAGGAAATGTGGGAGTAACGTGGATTCACCTCGATGTTCCAGACACATGAGGTCCGTGGAGGGTAGTTGGAGGGAAAGAACGGAGAAGAGAAGGAACCTTCATCTGCTGTCAGTTTGCCTCCACAGTCTGAAGGAGGAAGACGATTCACAGCTACTGTTAATGTACGATGTCAAAGAAACGTCCAAAGTCTTCAAACGTCTCCGTGTGTCCAACCAAGAGACATTCAGTTTGCAATGGATCAACATCTGAGATGATCAGTGGTTCTTTCAAATATCTGCAGATTAAATTTAGTGTTTGCTCCAAATATAAAGAAGGGGACTTATGTCAGACCTGCACTCTTGAAAAACGATGTTCGAGTTTGGTTGTTGCACAACTTTGAGTTTAATTTAAATGAATCAGCTTCGAGAAAACTCAGTGAAACTCAAAAGTATTTGTTCCGCTGCATGTTTTCCTGTAAATAACTTGTTGCTGTTCCACAGAGAAGCGGACTTACTGAGTTCGGTGGCGGGGATCTGGGAGTAGAAGGCTCTGAATCCAGGGAAGTTCTTGTCCTCGCTGGTGACCAACGTCAGCAACATGACGTTTCCAGAGGACAAGAAGGACAGAGAGTCGTGAGGATATCCACACTGCCTGAGGACGGACAGGAGGTCTGTTAGAGTCTGCTTCAGTAAAGTCGGGAGGCGGGATTTATGTTCTGGGCACTAAAGTAGAACCTGAATGTCATTTTTCCATCTTAAACCAATGACAACAAAACAGTGTTCCCTTTTATACCAACAAATGGTAAATGGTCTGCACTTATCTACCTTTGCGGCACTCAAAGCACTTCACAATGTTTCTCATTCACCCATTCACACACCAATGGCAACAGAGCTGCCATGCAAGGTGCTGCCTTCGGGTTCAGTGTCTTGCCCGAGGACACTTCGACTGTGGAGGGGATCGAACCGCCAACCTTGTGATTAGAGGACAACCCGCTGTACCACCTGAGCCACAGCCGGCCAACAACTCAAGAAACAAGGAAACTGGCCCGTTTGTCAGTTCTTCCAGTGTCCATTGAAAATCAATTGTACCAAAGTGGAAAACAAGTTTGGTTTTTTTTTTTCTTTGTTGGAATCCCATTTACTCATTTTCAATCAAAATGGGAAAACTAGTTACACGTAGCAGCCAGACCATTTGGAGTCCGGACAGCTTTAGAATCATTGTGTCGTCGACCTTCATCCGTAACCAAACCACACAGCTTCCTGTCTGATGGGTCGGCTGTGTGGAGGCGACGTAGCAGCGACGGGTCGACAGTTTTTTGTCAAATTGTGACTCTGGCCAGATTAGAAACGTGTGCAAATTACTATTTTTAAGACATTATGGTCAAAAACAAGCAAATCTGAGCTCTGATTGTGGAGCAGGTGGGTCTCACTCCGTCAGCGCCCGTTGCTCGATGGGAACCAGCGAGTCGTAGAGTTTGATGAAGTCTTGATGACAGTCGTCCTCCAGGATCAGAGTGTGGAAGTTGAGCCGGACTCGGTGGCCCGGATCGGCCCGAAGCCTCCACTGCAGGTAGACGTTGGGAGGGTAGGAAGAGTCGGGGAAGCCGGGCGACTGGAGGAAGGCCTCCTCACGGACGTGGACGTCGAAGGGCTTCCTCACTGGAAACACACATGAAGGGAAACACTTTGAAAAGCGTGATGATGACAAAAGCCCACGTTTAGTCGTCAGCATGGGGAGGAGCTTGAAGGATCGTGGATGTGAAACTGGGATCATCACCATTTGTTTGACACCACATTGTGAATATATTTAAAACCTGATTAACAGAAATGTCCAAAAGAAAATCTGCGCTCACCAAATAATGAGGTCCTGGTCATGCGAGGATCGATCACTGCGAACACAAAGACACGATTTAAACGTTTGAGCCTTTTAAACGCTTGCTGCTCAAACATGAGGAGACTTCAGGACGTAAACATGAGCGAGCCGGTGGCCTGACAACAGAACTCATGGGGTCGAATGAACAAAGAGAATACGTCAAGGTTTGGTTCAGACAATCTTAGACTGATAACAACACCAAACAATGTAACCTGGGATTAGTTTTGTCTGCTGAAAATCCAGTTTCTACCCTGTCAACGGGTCCATAAGGTGTATTTTACACACTGAAAGACTGAAATAACTCTACCTTGAAACTGCAGCATACTGATGACAAAAACACAGACTCAGATTCCAAAGTATTGATGTG